AAACAACACCCTCTCTTTTCCTCTGTACCCAAATCTATAAAAACGGTGTCCAATATTACGTAATATCGAAAATGTGGGCTGCGTCTCTATCAGAAGCAATGCGTGACGTGTTTTGGAAGTAATGTGGTCTTTGTTTACATTAGTAAGCATCGCTCAAACTCAGAGCTAACGCTGTACTGGAGAGAGTTTGTGTAAAAAAGCAGGATTAAAAAAAAGGAACTCACCTTGTAGTAAACCCGCAAGAGAAAAAGCATTTGAGCTCCATACTGTTTCAGAAATAATGTTTGACGTGGTTTTGAACATAATATGGCGGTTAATCACAGCAGCATTTAGCTAAATATCTGCCGGTAGAATTGTCCTGCATGAGCATGCATAAGGTCCCCCTCCTTTTTTTTTTTTTTTAAAAGCTACGGACCCAGAATCACGGTTCTCTAACAGGGCTGAAATAGAGGGATATGAGGCTAGATGGGTGACCTGTTTGGTATTTTGAGCAAAACACTTCATAGACATGTTTTTTATATATCTGAGACCTATAATATATGCCTAAAAATTGTATAATAGGAGACCTTTAAAACGATGCCAGGTCATCGACGCTAATTCAGTTGTAATTTCAGTGCAAAAGACACAAAAGCTCTGCTGGGAATATCATTTTCGTGTGTAATGAGAGACCATCTGCTGCCATGGAAAGACCTCATTGAATATATCTGTGAATTGTCAAAACAGAAAGATTGTAGGTTTGAGAAACTCTGACCCAACCTACCCGAATAACAGATTCACATTATCTCGGACACCAACCATGTCCTGAGCGGTCAATATAAACTGTTACCGTCACATCTGAGATACAAGGTCTCACGATTTAATAACGTGAGGCTGAAGCCAATCCTCAAATGAAACACAGAGTTTAATCCCAGGTCAAATGTAAGTAGTGAGTATTCCGTATCGCATCGTGTCGTATCGTATACATGTCTTTATGTCAAAAGTTCCTCTTTTTAACACTTTAACCTCTCCTCCTATTTCTCCACCAGCTCCTCACTGCTGAACAGGAGGAGGTGAGTGCAGGAGGAGGTGTGAGTTTATCAGATGGAGGTAGAGAGACATCAGTGCCACATCTCTGGCAGAGGATTGTGGGAAAGTACTCAGAAACTATTCAGTATATCTGATAAAAAGCTGACAGTGTTAAACTCTGTCTCTGATAGGAGTTTCATCTGACAACAGATCATGAGAGATTAGAGGAACATAAAACCTCAAAGAAAATACGTTTTAGTCGGTACTTTTGCGCCATGTTTTATGAGAATGTGTAAAATACATTTTCAGGTATTTGTACTGGTTTAAATCCTTCCCCAGCACACTCGCCTCATGTGAGTTTCCCCCATAGGAACCAGTGAGACCTGATGAGTTACAGTTGAATAAGAAACACATTCGTTATTTTTATCTCAGGTTATCTGCATAGTTCCTGCAGATCCTGAACGGAAATGCAGAGAAGCATGATGTTACACTTTTTTATTCCAATAACAATGTGAGATTTTGTATTTATAGTGCACCTAAAACAGAGAGACTAAACGTGACACATGGTTCTGAATTGATGACACAAAACAGAACCCCACAAGACTTATTTTCACATGTGACCCTTTAAATTCAATCTATGAAGTTATAGTATTATATTTATTTATCACTGGCTGCCCTCCTCTTACAGCAGATTCAGTAACAGGATGATCCTCACACAGCAAACACAAATTCAGCGAGGACAGATCCTCTGAACAGGAGCTCAGGTCAAAGTGTTTTATCTGAAACAATCAACACAGAAGCTCTTTTTCAGCAACCTAATTGCAAGTTATTCATACAAAAACTTGTCGGATTCCTCCCTATTCTTCTCCTCTGTCGTATTGACTCATGCCAGAGTAAAGTGCTTCTTCATATTTGCAGAGAGAGTGTGTTCTCGTGTCTGTCATTAACTTCCTGTCAGAGGATGATCTCTGAGTTATGCACTGTTGACATGCAAGTGTACCTGTAAATAAAGCAGGAAACACACGCACGCGCACACGCACACACACACACACACACACACACACACACACACACACACACACACACACACACACACACAACACACACACAGTGAGGTAGTATACAGAGGTTAACCTGCATCTCTCTAAAGATGCACTGTGTTGATGCAGATGTAATATGCATGATTTAAACAGGCACAAATGGGGCACACACATCCCCCTCACTCACTCTCTCACTCACACACACACACACACACACACACACACACACACACACACACACACACAACACACACACACACACACACACACACACACACACAGTGAGCTGGTGAATAAACTTGGCTGTTTGGCTCATTGTCCCCTGTCAGTGAGGCGCTGCAGGTTAAGTGAGGGGCCCTGATGGACTGAGACCACCAGAGGAGCTGTGGGGGGGGGGGGGGGGGGTCTGATAGGGGAGAGGAAGATGGCACCAGATAGAGAGGCAGAGTAATGTATTGTCCAGGCATTCAGATGCACAGGTGTGTGTATAAGTGTGTGTGGATGCATGGCCTCTAATAATACATCTTTACCCAATTATTCACTTCCACCAATTTTTTTAAACAAACATCAGATTTGCATTATGAACACGGCTGAACTGGGGCGAGATTAACCTGAGCCTCAACAGTGTATATCGAGCACGTCCCAGCACACATATATGTAAACACATATTGTATAAAGTCACGCAACACTAACCAGGCATTTGCATGATAATGTTTATGTTTACCTTAATATTATTGACCACCCGTTTCTGTTGTTTTTTCATTATAGCAGCTATCAGATGTTATCAATACATGGCTACACAGGTCAGACTATCACAAGTAGAACCGTTTTTTTTTTCAGTGGAAAAGGGGGTAACTGTGAATGTTCTCAGTTCAAAGCTCCTGGTCTGGGTTTGGATGTTTGTGTTGTACAACTTCTGCTCCTTCATAAACCATAAGAAGGATCTTGAGAGCTGAACTGAGAGAGAAGTTTGAACTTTGCTGAGGCAGAGCTGCTTTCTCTGCTGTTTTTGTTACAATATGAGTGTGGCCACTTGCACATAAACAGTGACACGGGGTCTTACAGCAACAGACGCAGCAAAGAAAAGGACGAATGATCCTGAGAGCTGAACTCAAGAGTGTAGTTGAACTGCGCTAATGTGTGCAGCCACTTGCGTTCATACAAAGAGAATAGACGACCCTGTGCATGGTTGGAGTTCACTGACCCGTCAGCAAAGAGGTGGAGGCTGCCCTGACTGACAGATGAGAGAGTACACATCTGAAGAGGAGATCACCCCCCCCCCCCCCCCCACCTGAAGGACTGGCAATCTGTTTACCTGCTCACACTGTGGAGACATGTTTAAAAGAAGAGCATCAGAGTTGGCAACAATAACAGAAAATGTAGACGATACACAGCGTGACAGTTACAGATAGGAGAAGCCTGATTTACTGATTCTGTCGGGCAGAGTTAGTCAGGTTTGGTGAGATGAGGTGCAGATTAGCCGCCACCTTCTCCAGATAAAGCCCTGTCCTCTGATGTAGTGATTTAAAGAACAATTAACGCACTGTCTACTACAACTGCACCTTTATCTGATAGCCCTGAAACACACTGACTGAAGTGTGCAAACTCACTGGACCAAATGAAACTGAAGCAAACTGATCCATCTTTAACATATTTGTATTCGTAATCCAAATAAAACAGCTCTTACGTTCTACGGTGGTCGACGGGTGCAAACACGGTACAACGGCCCAAAACATTTAAATTAAAAGAAATGTAGGTTACTGTAGTTTCAGAATCAATGCAAATATAAACACAAATGTGCCAAAACACATGCAAATGAAGACCTGTCACTGTTGTTGGAAACTTACCTAAGATGTACGTTTTATCGGCTTATTTTAACAATGTGATTGCGTGATTCTCTCAGATATTATTGCAGATCTGCTGTAAGATAGCTAACGTCTAACCTATTCATTTCAAATATACTGACAAACACTTACAATTATGAAAACAGATTAACTCTGCCAATAGCAACTCTATGATCCCCAAACGTCAACAAGTGCTCCGGTTCAAGCTGTATTGGTCACTTTTTAGTAAGACTGTGACTTACTAACACACTCACCAGGTGAGAGCAGCTTCATGTGCCAACCTCAAATTCCCCTGCACAGTGATGAGATGATAACGCTGCATTTATTTATTATCCTGTGATCTGCGTCTATCAGCACAAACCTCTTTATATCTGCATGCTCATCTCACACACCAATGCTTTGGTTGTAATGTATTGAGGTGGGAAGTCTTTCTGAAGGTAATACAACACTTTACTGTCTTTCTGCACTCTATAGGAACATATAAACCCCCCCACTAGTTACTCTGTGTTTCTGCTCCCGGTGTTGTTCTGGGTAATGACAGTAAGACAATCTGCTGCCTGTAACTGGATCAGTGTGAATGCACAGAAGTGAATGAAACATGTGACAAGCTGTGATTAGTGTGTGTTGACAGATGGGTCCTTTGTGGAGCTAATTTGTAGAGCAGAATAACCAGGTAGGTAATTACCTGTTGCTCTCTGGCTGTCAGGGCCATTGTTGTGTTAACACATTACCAGAGGATATTCTTGGCGAATTGTAGGAAGCTGACCTGAGGCTATGAATACAAACTTTATTTATAGAAACACGTTCATCATAAAAAACATGATGTGTGTAATCATAAATTCATTGCAAAGCAGGGAAGACGCAATTCATTTATGATTTTTGAGAAGGAGCTCAGTCCTCCTTCTTTCTAAGCAACAGATTAAACATCTTAAAGCATCAAAAACTGTAATGTAAGTCTGAGTGTTTTTTCCTTACATACCACTTTAAGTGTTGTTCTGATCTGCAGCTGTGTGTGTGCTCAGATTAGAGCACCATTCATCCGGATACAAATAAACATGCTGGTGTTCAGAGGCTGCAGAAGGGGGAGTGTCGATGTTGAGTTTCATGGAGGAGCACCACCTATAAGGAGCTGCTGCAGGACCGCCAAGCATCAGTCCCTCAGAGGAGCATCACTGGGACTTTACCTCTCTGTGCGTAATGGAAAGCAGGATCACCCCACTTGGCCTGGCTGGGCATAGCGCCTCCTCTCTCGTGGGTCTGCAGGTTCCTCCGTCCCTTCTGCGGCCACCTCATCTCTTCCTGCGGGCCTGTAACCCCACTCTGGAGAGAGGCTACCCCCGCACCCCGAAGTGCGCAAGGTGCAGGAACCACGGCGTGGTGTCTGCGCTGAAGGGCCACAAGCGTTTCTGTCGCTGGAGAGACTGCGTGTGCGCAAAGTGCACGCTGATAGCGGAGCGGCAGCGCGTGATGGCTGCGCAGGTGGCTCTGAGGAGGCAGCAGGCCCAGGAGGAGAGCGAGGCCCGGGACCTCCGGATCATGTACCCCGGGGAGAGTGGAGGTCCTCCTGCGTCCCAAGCAGCCTCCAGCAGCGCTGCGCACAGGTTCGGTGTGTTTGGAGAGGAGAGCTACAAAGTTGGTGAGTGAAAAGCGTGACAATGTTCTAAAATAAATGTAAATCACAGTTAGATTGTGTTACCATATTGGGTTTATTAGTAGCTTTTACATTGAAGTTACCCTGAAATATATGTCGTTAACTCGGACTTTTACGCACCGAACGTTGGACACTTGCTTTGATTTGGAATTAAATGATGTACACATCATTGTGGCACAAATTATTTCAATTTTAAATACTTTTAAGCACAGATAACTTTGGGCACTCGGTTTTACTTATTACGCACAGAGAACCTTGCATATTGTTTCACTTTGAAATACTTTTACGCACAGATCGTTGGACATGTGATTCTAAATCAGCTCCTCTCCTTTCAGATGACGCACTGAGCAGGTTCAGCCTGTACAGCGGGTTCCTGGCTCGGCCCCTGTTCACCCCTCACAGCGCGAGGCTGCCCTCCCCAGCTGAAAGGACCGAGGTGTCTCCAAACAGAGACAGCAGCACCTCACTGACCGGAGACAGCAGCAGCCCCTCCCCGTTGTGTGAGCAGCGCTCAGAGCGTGCAGACAGTCCGCACAGCCCCCCCTCCTCCTCAGACCCGGAGTCAGGAAGCGAATCGGAGAAGCCCAGGGACTTCCGGGGTCTGGAGCGGGACCCCACTGACATTATGGCCAAGATCTTCCCCCAGCAGCGACGGGACACGCTGGAGTCCATGGTGCGGACTTGTAAAGGAGACCTGGTCCGGTCCATAGAGCTGGTGCTGAGCTCCAAGGAGAACCAGCTGGACTCGGAGGGTAAGCTCCCCTCCGGAGCTCTGGAGAGCATGTCTGCCTTCTCCCCGCTGCACATGCACCCCCCGGCCGCAGGAGGAGAGGGTATGTTCGGGCTCAGCCCCCGTCTCGGGGTCAATCCCTTCCGGCTAGCCTACTCCTCCGCTGGCGGCTACATGTCCCCGTACGTGAGCTCCGGACTGATGCCGATGTTCCCCCTGCGGCCCCCCCTGGACTCCTACTCCTTCCCGGGAATCATCAGAGACCTATCCTCCCTGCAGAAAGAGTCCCGGTGCAGCCCGGGGTTCTACAGCAGACTCAGCTCCGACAAATGATCGTTTTGAACATTTGATTAATGTCGACTGATTTCACATTAAAGTGCCTCAAACTAAAGCCATACTTTTATACTGTAAATATTGTTTATTTTTTAATAAAGCTTTCAAACATGAAATGTTTTAACATTTCTTCATTATTTCTGACGATAACATCTAACAATCCTTTTGAACCTATTCAAATGTTAGCGTTTTAACATGACTTATTAATAAAATACATCATGTGATCAGTGTAATAAAGTTCAGTATTTAAACACTCAAATGTCATTACATCGTTTGTCTTCACATTTTGAAAAAGGTCGAACAAATCTGAAAAAGTAATGCTCTCCTGCGATTGGTCGAAGGAGTCACATGTGGCTCGAATGAGAGCCAATAGGAAGGCTGAGAGGCGTCACATGACCGCATGTTTGAGGAAGTGCAGACATGTCCTCTCTGGTGTGGTTGAATGTGCATTGAACGTGCATTGAACGGGTCAGTCTCCGGACATGAAGCTGCTCTTCAGCTGCTCTCTCCTCCTCTTCATCACCGCCGCGTGCCTCTGCGGCTCTGCAGCCACCCGGAAACTCAGAGGCATCTCGTCCTCCTGTGAGTTACCTGAGTGTTACCTGACAGTTAACCCAGAGTGTTACCTGAGGCTGTCTTGTTGCGGCTAGCTCACCTGTTACCGGGTCACCTGAGAGCGTTATTTATTATTTAGTTTATCGGCCCTGTTTTATTGCTCCATTTCCTTCTTTATGTCTTCAATATGACAATAAAACCTTTGCATCTTGAAGAACCTGCCATTGCTTGGTAGCAATCATTACTGATCTGTGTTTTTATACAGGAAAACATGTCTCTTCTGTCTGGACTTTAAAGGGTCCCTATTCTGCTCACGTTCTGATTCATATTAGTGTTGAGTGTATATTTAGTAAGTGTTCCAGAGTGATGTCACTACAGGAAGGAAACAAAGGAGTCCAATGGAGGAGTTTCAGGCAGGGAGAACAGGGAGAGAAACTCCCTCTGGAAGTAACACAGGGATTTTTGCCCTACAGACCATTTGCATGCACAAAAAACACAAAAAGAACACAAGACAGGAAGGGGACAAGCAGAATAGGACATCAACACATATTCCTGACTCCTCTGTCTGGTCAAATTTCCAGCTGCAGCTGTTTTCATATATGTTGTCTTTTCGTTGTGTGACAGATAAGCGTTTCTACAGGGAGCGAAGGTCCTTCCTGTGCATCGATGGCTCCAGAGTGATCCCCTTTGAGCAGGTCAACGACGACTACTGCGACTGTGAGGACGGCTCCGACGAGCCAGGTCACCACACACACACACACACACACACACACACACACACACACACACACACACACACACACACAC